ACGCAGTGGCTCTAACACCCCTCTCCCATAAGGCTGCTGTGAATACATGAGATCACAGATGCAGACTCTGGCACAGTTCTGCACACACGGTTTGCATTCAATATGATAACAGATACTGTCACCTCCATGAAGAGAGTGAAGACTAAAAGGTGGTTTTCAGAAAAGGAGGTCAGGAGGTGAAGGGGACTGAGAACAGGTGCGAGGGGACAGCCTGAATGACAGCCTCAGGGACACACTCGTAAGGGTAGAGCCACAGGGCTGAGATGTCAGGGGCGGGTGGGAGTGGGGATGCCTGCTGAGGTGCAGCTGAAAGGCAAGGCTGAACCCAGGACCGAGCTGGAAAAGCCCCCAACTCTGCCAGAGACTTGGACCTCAAGGCCAGAGGCAGGAAGAGACCACACAGATTGACTACCTGAAAAAAAACTTCCTGGGCTTCATTGGACAGAGAGTTCAAAGCTTTCCTTTGCTACTTCCCCTTGCCACTCTGGCCCTCAAGGACCCTCTCCTGAAGACTGGTATCCCAATGACAGTTAATGACCTGACACTTAGCACTTCCCTGTCCAGCTGGAATCCAAGGGGTCCAATGGCTGAGGGCTAGGCTCCCACAGCGTCCCCAGGGCAGGGGCACCTGTGCCCCATGGAGCCCTCTGCTCGGGAACCTAACAGGCCCTCAGGTAGCTCCAGATTGTTACAGAGGAGGCAGGAATTTTCCTCCCCAAGATGAGAGTAACAAGGAGAAAATTCTGAGGTGCCCTAAATTAAATTACAGCAGGCTGGAGGGTGGAAGGAAGAGACAAGAGAAGTCAATCAGTTATCAACTGCGGATGACCAACAAAAGTCCGCTGACACTCTCCTGAGAGTGCGTTGGAACACTGAATTAACTTTTAGGTGGCTATTTTCCAATTAGAAACTAAAGAAACCAGCCAGGCGCCACCGACCACCAGGCGCCACCGACCACCAGGCGCCACCGACCACCAGGCGCCTCTCTGGGTGCTCACAGCGTGAGCTTTCCAGCCTGCTGCCCCCCACCAATCCAAAGGAGCAAACACTTCCTTACAGACCCTGCACCTTCCCCCACCCTCTTTACCTCCAGTCGGTGTACATTTTTTCCAAACAACTTACATCTTTTTCTTTTTTCCCTAAAACATAATGTATGAAAGTGCCGTGGATGCCGGGACTGCAGACACTGCTCCCTCCGGCCGCTGCTGGTGGTTTTTGGCCTGCGTGCCCAGCACCTGGTCCTCTCCAGGTGAGCGTTTGACTCAATAAACAGTTTCTTTCAGAAAAGCTTTTTTGTCTATGAAAGTTTTTTGTTTGACGAATATACAACGAATCCCTAAATATTTTTCTATTTCCTTCAGGCCTTCATTCAAATAATCCTCTCAGTGAAAACTTCCCTTGCCTCCCCTCGAAAAGATCAATTCAGCATGCCCCCTCCTCCACATAAACACACAGGTCCTAACTCCCTCGCCTGCTTTATTGTCCTCCTTAGCCTTAGCCACAATCATACTATATATTTAATTTACATCCTCACTATAATGAAGCTCCAACAAGGAAGGAATGTTTGTCTGTTTTGCTCACTGATGTATCTACGGCTCTTAGAATAGTGCCTGGAAAACAGCAGGAGCGGAAAATATTTTTCAAATGAATGAATTATTAGCTGTACTTATTTAAGCACTTGTTCTGCATTAGGGACTTTGTTTTAAATACAATCTAGCTCATTTTCATCTTCATAACCACCCTGTAAGGTGGTGGTTATTTATGTTTTCTAGATGAGAACAGGGAGTCTGAGCAGTAAGATCACTCACCCAAGCTCACATCGTCTCTACATGGCAGGGTTGGGCAGGCCTCTGTCTGGCTCCAAAGCCTTAGCCATTACCTGTACAACATGAGCTGTGTTTGGGTGAAGGAGGGAAGGAGGACCAGAGAGAGATAAAGGAAGAAGCAACAGGAAACCTCTGGAAGTTCTATTGAACCAGTGCTGCCAACAGAACTTTCTGTGATAATGAAAAATGCTCTCTCTTTATTCTGTCCCATTCAGAGGCCACCAGTCACATGTGCTATTGAACACTTGAAATGTAGATAGTGCAACTAAGGAACCACTTTTAATTTGATTTCATTTTAATTAACTTAAATTTAAATAGCCACACTTAGCAAGTGGCTACCATATTAGACAGTAAAGTTGTAGCCTTTAAGACTGACCTGGAAAAGCCCAAATTTGCGACAGGAATGTTCTCCCTCACGGGGTTGGCGGCCTGCAGGCCTGGTGAGACAGGGGAAGGGAGGGGCAAGGGGCAGCGTCTCCGATGGTGAGGACCCAGGCCGCTTTGTGTAACCCTCACCCTCTGAGGGGAGGGTTTGTTTACCCAGTTCCAGGATGAAGTAATGGGGTCAGGGTCAGTCTGCCCATTGCCTTGCGGTCTCGGTCCTCAGTCAGAGCAGCTTCCTCACTCTCCCCCACCCCCAGACGGTCTTTGGGTAGAGGGTACTTAGCAGGAGTGTCAGACAGCTGGCTTTTCTCAGTCCCTCTCAGGGCCTTACACTTGACCATCTTCAAGCTCCTTTAAGGCGGAGTCTGGGTGGCTGGACACACACAGGCCCCATAGGGCAGCACATGGACTCAATAAACGTTGGCTGCACTGAATAAACAAGGGCAGAGCCAAAGCAGTAGATGGTTTCTGGCAAGTAGAAGCCAAGCACACTGGGGAAGGACCTTAGTTCAGTTCCTCAATCTCGCTGTTGGGCCAGTCATCCTCAAACTTGCCAATCACAAAGGACATTTGTTGAAAAGGACATTTCCCAAGACTTATTCCCAGATATTATTTCTCTGGGGTATATCTGGAGCCAAGAATCAGCATTTTTGTCAAGCCCTCAGCCCCACCCTTCACACATAAACACACACACACACACATACACACACACACACCCCCTAGTTCTGATACAACTAGACCCAGAACTGATCTTTTGAGAAATACTGATGTAGGGTGAGGATAGGAAAGTGAGTAGACATTTAGGGCAGGAAGAAATTGCCCTAAAGGCAAGCTCAGAAGCTGGGACAGGATTTCGAATGACATAAAGGCGTATGTGCTTGTGTTGTGGGCTGTCACACTGCAGAAGGCAGAGGGAGACCCTGAGTCACCTGTGTGCAGCTGTGTACAAGGACGTGTGGGCAGCTGCGAGTCCCAAGGGAGACAGGTCTCCTGACTACAAGGGCCCACAGCCCAGAGAGCCAGCGGATTTCCCCTCCAAACCCACTCCAGCTGCTAACCCTTGGCCCCTCACTTCTCCAAAGCGAGCCGTCTCAGTCATTTGCTCCATGCTTCCTGTATAATGTCTTTATTTTTACTCTCAAGTTTGTGAGTCTGTGTGGGTGTGGGAGGAGAGTTGGGTATTTTCTACGTCTCTGCATTTTCCTTCTGAACTGGGAGGGCTTTCACTTCCTCCCCAAACTCTCAGTTCTGCCTTAAATTCACAGGCCACGAGACCACCTTCTCCATCCCTCTCGAGCACCAGAGAAATGGAGAAACAGTGGCCACTCGGTGTCTTCGCAGTGTCTAACCACGCAGGAGTGCAAGGAAGCCAGGGCTGTAGCAGCAACCTCCCTGGGGCTGCTGCCCCGGCTGTGCTGTGAGTAGCAACAAGGGGCAGGCACGGGAGCCTTGCTCCTTCCCGACAGGGACCTCAGCCCTGCCTTGCATCCCTCGGACACCAGGGGACAAGCCCAGGCCTCCACTTCCCTTCCCTTGGCCTCTCCTGCCCCAGTGCTCAGCCAGCCGGGGGTGACTCTCAGCCTGGCATCAAACACCCCTCAGCTCTTCCTGCTGCGCTAATTCTACATTTGGGAGTCTTGGGGACCTACTGCACTGGAACTCAGGGACCCGGAGGGGTAGGCCTCCACCAGCAGGGCCTGACGGCCTCCCATCCCAACCTCTCTGAACCTCAGCCTCCTCTTTGAAACAAAGTATGAGTACATTTAGACCCAATGGAGAATGAGCAAACATGCCTTAGAGCACAGAGGCCTCAATCAACAGCACCTCCAAGTTCAAGGAACCAGAAAGCAGAGAGCGGCAGGCACTCCAGCCTCCAGCTCTAGAGCATTATCTCCCAGCAGGAGACATCAGCCTGCCCCTTTGGTTTTCCGCTGAGTCTTCAAAGAAGCCCTCAGCCTCTAAAATAAACCTCTGGAGAAGCAGTTGCCCAGCTGGACGACAGAGACTAGCCCTGCAGCTGGGCACACAGCCAGGGGCAGATTACAGTCAACAGGAGCAAAAGTGCCCCCTGCCCTCTGCCTCACCCCTCCTTCTAGCCTCTGGAAGTGGAGTCCAGTGTGTGCCAGCCTCAAGAATCCCAGTCGGTGGCCATCATCCTTCCCACTTAGGTTCAAGTCCCAGGGCTGGGCACACAGCTTGCAGAGCTGGTGTCTGCTGAAGCCTGTGCAAGCAGCCAGAGGGTCGTGACTCAGCGCCCATGAGGTCAGTCACTTCAACAGTCACGGCATTGTCATCCACACATACAGCTAGGGGCTGAGGGGGGAGCCCGGCAGGGTGCCCTTCCCCTGCCCAAAGCTGAGGCTAGAGGGGCGCCCTGGGCGAGAACTCCACCTCGCTGGGGTATCTCCTCTCAGAGTCGCCCGGGGCGCAGCTGTCTCCTAGGGACACTGGACGGAGAGCTGAGAATCAGGTTTCTGAGAACACACCAAGTCCCACGAGCAGACCACAGGGAGCGTCCCGGCCACAGGGCAGCCTCAGCAGAGAGCGCACCTCCGAAGGCGCAGGGCGCAGCAGGGAGTACGTGAGCCCCCGCCCGAGACGGAACAGCTGGGTCAACTCGGAGCCCACCTTGTGCCCGCGGGAACCCAAGCTTAGTCACGGAAGACTAGAGCGGTCACCCCTCCTTTACCCCCTCAGGCCGCTCACTACCAGCCCCCATCTGCGACCGCCACACTGGTTTTCCCCACCCGCCCGTTGGCTCAGCCCTCCAGGTGCGCGCAAAGCCCTTACCCAGAGAGGGGCAGGCCCCTGGGGCCAGTGCCGCCCCCTGCGCTGCCAGCAGGGCGGTGAGCAGTGCGCAGCGGACCGCCAGCATGCTTCCTCCTCGGCTAGTGGCCCATGGTCCCAGGCAGGCAGGCGGGCAGGCGGGCAGGCGGGCAGGCGGGCGGGCGAGTCGGAACCGGGCGACCGGGGCGGGGCGGCGGCGGGCGGGCTCAGGCGCCTAGGGCAGCCCCCATGCCTAGGGGAGCCCGCGCTCGGCACGCGCGGCGAGTCCCCGAGCCCCGCGCCGTGCTCAGCTCGGCTGCTTTTGGCCGGGCACTTTGTCAGTGCGACTTCCCACTTGCACGTGACTCATAGCCGCGGACAGTCCAGGCAACGCAGGAAAACATTTGAGGAACTCGCGCTGGGGCGTCGCTGGGCCGCCCCAGGGTGCTGTTACGAAAGCCGGAGCAGGTGGCGCAACAGCCCCAGCGCCCCTGCCGATCGCGGGCTTCCTGCCAGGGCGCCACACCTGAGCCCCGGGGCCGCAGACCCCGAGCCCGGCGGGGGCGAGCTTGGCTGGGCCCCTCCCCCAGGTTCTGTTGATGAGAGGAGAGAACTTAGCCACCACTGGTCGGTTTTGATTTTTGGTTTCGCGCACGGAATTACGCTGTGAACAGAGCACCTGTAGGGCCCGGAGGAGGCAGCGTTCCCCTCACCGTTGCTGTGAAGCAGTGCCCCAGCACGGTTGCCCCCCGGAATCCCCCCGCATAGCCCTCAGAACCACCAGTGCCTGGGTCTGGCCCCCAGAGATTCTGATTTAATCGATCTGGCATGATGCTTGGGCGCTGAGAGGCTCGCCGCTGGAAAGGCGCGGTTCTTCTCCGTGCCTGTCTGCGCCCACAGGCTGCAGCACCTAGGAGGCGGTGCGGGGGCTCTGGAGGCAGGCAGAGACCCGGCTCCAGCCAGACCTCCACCGACTGCCTGTGACTGCTCTTCGAAGTCGCTGAGTTTTAGTTTCCTCATCTGTCAGAGATTTTTCTAAAGCCTGTGCTAGGGAGGCGGCATGGATATACCTGGCACGAGGTCTAGCCACAGGTGCTTAATAGTTGTCCAAACCTGCATGTCCACCACCCTGATTTGACAGATGGAAACCGGTACTTGAATTTCAGGAGCAACCATGAAAACCTCATGAAAGGGCCCACAAATTTCCCCAGGGATCCCAAAGCTGCTATGGTGGCCTCAGAGCTCAATTTGAAGGGAAAGGAAAGCACTGAAATACGGTTTTGGGTGAGAAGCTTCTGGACTAGCAACTGCTAATTCGAATGTGCTTTTCCACTTTGGCCTTCAGGCTGATCCTAACCAGGATCGGGGTTCCTGGGGCAGCTACAATGGGCATGGCCTAGAGGAGCCCCCAAGTGGACAGGACTGGCATGAAGGCGCAGCGCTCCTGAAATGCAGCTCTCAGGCCCTGCGCATCTGGCCTGGGAGGCACCCGCCCCTCGGCAGTGCCAGGCAGAGCCAGGCATATGCCCTGGCCCACATGTGATGGAGGCTGAAGGGGGTGGGTCTACTCCAGCCACACTCACAGACAGGGAAAGAAAGGCGTGTTGGAAGGCAGATCTTTTGACCACTAGCCCTCTGGGCTGGAAGGTGGTTTCCAAAGTGGTTGCCCGCTTCCCGTCTCTTTGTGGAAGATGCAAACCTGAAAATAATCGAAGGGGGCCTGAAACCAGAAGGCTGCAGGAAGCCCTCTGCTTCGATAGAAGAGTTTTGAACAGGGATGTTGAAACCCAAGAACAAGTGTCTTAGACCCCATCTGGCTGACCCCACCAAAGTGGGCCTTTCCCTTTCTAATCCACAGGTAGGGTGACTTTGTCCTCTGGAGTCAGACAGACCGAGTTCCCATCCCAGCTCTTGCTGGCTGTGACTTGAGCAAGTTACTTAAATTCTCTGAGTCTATTGCCTGACTTTTTAATATGAGAGCAACAGAGTGCAAATTATCGATATTGTGGTTCCGATTAAAAACTCTGGGCCATCTTTTTTTTCTTAGCCTCATGCTCTGCATCTCCATGCTTTGAATACAATTATGTTTTCAATAACATGTTTCCACAGTATTATTTATGGCTTCATACCTTGTCCAAGCTCTTCCCTTTGCCGGAAATCCTTCTTGCCTTGGACTCACTGGGATGTCTTCTTTGGGAAGGCACCTGGTCTCCTTCCTACTTCACTGGAACCCTACCATCCATCAGGTCAGATCAGGTGGCTCGTCTCTGTGATACCTCAAAATCCCCTGCCGACTTTGGTCATCGCCCCGTCTTCCCTACCACACCATAGAGCTCTTGCTGCCACTGCTGAAGAGGGCCCGGCAGAGCGAGGGTCTTTGCCTGGGAGCTGTGACCTCCGCCGGAGTGTAGTCTGTGCAAGGTCTCTGAGCCCTGTCACACCCCACTGGAACTGCACACTACGCGGAGTTTCAGAATTCATGGGGCGACATTCCAGTGTTTTATTATGGCAAACACTGATAAGGAAGAGACGAAAACATTCCTGTACGGCTCAGCCTTGCCCACTCCTGGTTTCAAATGTCAGCATCCATGGGGTCAGCAGGTCTCTTGCCTGGCTTCTCGACTCAGGAAGGGGAAAAGACTCAGACCCTTCTAGGCTGGTCTAAAGGCCCATGGAGGAAACCAGAATATCGAGTCACCAGCAAGCAGAAATGAGAACCAGACAGGGCTGGGGGTTTTAGTCAGGCAGCAGAAGGACAAGGACAGCCTGCACCAGGGCACCTCTTACAAAGCACTTTCAGACACGATCTCCCTTCAGCCCTGAGGGCTAGGAGATACAGTTTCCAATTTTCAGATGAATGCACTGGGGCTCAGAGAAGTAAAGTAACTTGTTCAAGATTGCACAGGTGGTCAGTAGCAACTCCAGAGTGAGGTCTGGCTCCTGGCCCAGAACTCTTACTGAGGGAGGGTGCAGTGGAAACGGGACCAAGGACACTGCAGGACACCTTCTGTCTGACCCATCGCAGCAGGCACTCAGGGATAGATAGACCAGGAGGGAAGAGTAGAGAGGAGCAGAACCTGGCATTTGGGATGTCCCCCTTCTTGGGCCTCCTAGACCCTCTCTCCTCAACCCGTGTGTCTCCCTGCAGCTGCCTTCCATCTCCCCTAGAGGGGAAGCCACAGGCTGGCTCAGCTGCTGTCTGACTCCTTCCTGGCAAGTCCTCTCTCACCTCTGACCTGAAGAGATGAGCTTCTTCAAGTTTGCCACAGTCAGAGGACTATTGCGGGCCCCATTGAATAAATTCATAGATTGTTTTGAATCCAAAAGGTACTTATTTATCTTCTGCTCCTCCTCCCTCTGGCCTCAGGAGGTGATTTGGCAAAGGTGACACCAGCAACTAATGACAGCAGGTCAAGATCCCAGATACCCTGATTCAAAGGAGTCATCTCTTTTTAATTCCCACAAAGTCCCCAGCCCCAGGTTTAGGTTTAGGGCTATTCTCAACTGGGAGATTTTGAAACAATACCCTTTGCTCTCTATTCACCTTTTAGGGACAATGATAATCCTAAGAAGTACCTGGGGCAGGTCACCATGCAGACCCCTCCCCTGACCTCTGGCCCTGACTAATCAGTAATTACTGGAAGGCGCTCTTTATTCCCAGAAACCTTCCCCTCCCCTTTCTCATCAGCCTGAGAAGAGGCGGACAGTCTGTGGCCCAGCTGAGGCATAATACGGGGGGCCCATCTGATTAGCGGAACTCTGTCTCAAGCCACGTGTGCCCCTGCAGAATGAAGGCCCGGCCAGGGCCGGTGCCCTCAGCCTGCCAGGGAAGGCGCTCCGCTGTCAGAGTGGAGGAGACAGCCTCCCCAGCTCTGGCAAAATAGCAGTCAGCCTCACCCCATTCAGCTGCAGGGGAGTTCAGTACATTTTCTGTTCTGTTTCCCTATCACATCGTCAGCTGAGTTTACCCCCAGAGATGATTTAGCACCGTTCTCAGAAAGCAGTTATAAAATTTCTCCCCTTCTTATAATATTTATAGTGTTGTGATTTCATAACCATTTAAAAGCTCAATCAAAATTAAATATAGAATTACCATATGATCTAGCAATGTCTTTTCTGGATATATATACAAAAAAAATTGAATGCAGGAACTCAGATATTTGTATACCCACGTTCATAGCAGTATTATACATAATAGCCAACAAGTGGAAGCAACCCAAGTTTCCATCAATGCATGAATGAATAAACAAAATATGATACATACGTACAATGGAATATGATTCGGCCTTAAAGAGGGAGGCAATTCTGACACATACTACATCATGAATGAACCTTAAAGACGTTACGCTAAATGAAATGAGCCAGACACAAAAGCACAAATATTGCATGATTCCACTTATATGAAAAACCCAGAGCAGTCATAACTCAGAGATACATAGTAGAATAGTGGTTGCCAGGGCCGGGGGGAAACAGGAATGAGTATTATTGTTTAGTGGGTATGAAGTTTCAGCTTTGTGAGATGAAAAGAGTTCTGGAGATGGAGGTAGTGGTGATGGAGAACAACAATGTGAATACACTTAACGCTACTGAACTGTCCTGTAAATTTTATATTACGTATGTTTTACCACATTTTTAAAAAGCATCACAATTATAGGATTAAACAAACTAGGAGCTTGAAAATTCTCAGTATGCAAAATAGATACATTATTGAGTAGGTGGGAATGGGGAGACAACTCTCACGTTATTAAAGGTTATAACATGAAGTTGTTTTGAGAGCGGACTTTTTAAAAGACAATATACAATATAATTTTATGTGCACAGACTCTGGAGCCAGACTGCCTGTGTTCAAATTTCAACTATACCTTATTTAACATCACTGTGTTTCAGTGTCTCCATCTGTGAAATAAGGAAAATAAAAGTACATTCATGGAATTCTTAGGAGAATTAAATTAATTAACATATGTAAAATGTTTATAATAATACCCAACACATGGTAGGTCCTATATGAATTCTAAATTTGTTTTATTTCAAGTAAGTACTGTAAGTACTGTTAAATAAATGTAAAGAAGTATATTCTTTCTAGGCAGAAGAGTCCACCTGAATATGTTTTTAAATTACAGCTTATTATATTACCCATAAAATAAACAGGTTGAAATCTATTTTGGTCTTTAG